TTTTTTACAATGAATGCAATACCATTCCTCTTCAATTTGTCATTCCTGGCATAGTAAATCATGTGGTTGTCAGATTCGAAATGGCCAATACCAGTCTATTTCAGCTCACTAATGCCTAAGATATCTATGTTAATGCGTTCCATTTCATTTTTAACAATTTCTAATTTTCCTAGATTTACACTTCATACATTCCATGTTCCGATTTTCAGTGGATGTTCACAGCGGTTTCTCTTCATTTTGAGTTGTGCCCCATCAGCAAATGAAGGTCCTGCGGGCTTTTCTCTATTTGTGTTATCATAGTCAACTCTACTTTGAGGAGGCAGCTCTTCCCCAGTCGCATTTTGAGTGCCTTCCAACCTGAGGGGCTCATTTTTGGCACTGTATCTGACAGTGTTTCTCTGCTATTCATAACGTTTTTAGGATACACTATTTTAAAAGGGTCTCGCCCACCTCCTCAATTAACCATTGATAAGTGACAAACTCTACTCTTTCCAAACTACATGGAAATTTTTATTTTAACAATCTTACTCAAAAATATGGAGGATGGGAATTAAGGGGCTTTTGTTACAGTTAAGAGATCAGACTTCTCTCCCATTTTTTTACTTGAACTGCGAAGGTACAAAAGAGAAATAGCTAGGATGTGAATGAGATATGGCATTAGGTTCTGGAACCAAATACATACTGGCTCTTCCACAAGGCCGCCGACTCTCTCACCATTGAAGATCATTTCTTTAACATCCAGTGTCTCATCAATGACCTGGAAAAGACATGAAAATGCCAGAGAAAGCTTGAGTATAAGTATAAATGCTTCTTTTCCACTTTACTTATACCTTCTGGGCTTGAACTCGCCAGTCAGAGTTCCAACATGTTTGCCCACATCCACTCCCCAGATACCTAAGTAGAATGGCAAGAACAGCTGTGAGATTACTGTGCATCAGCTGACCCTGTAAGGGTTCCACATGCATCCCATTCTAGGTAGCTGCTTCACAGCAATATTTCAGGGCAGAGTACCAAGAAGCCAAGTGGAAATATCAAATTCAGTTGAGGATAATCCAGAATATAAATGATGAAAAATGCTACAAGAACAATGGATAATTGTTACTGTGTCAATTTGGACTCATCGGGATGGTGTAGAACTACCCCAGAGGGTTTCCTAGGCTATAATTGTTATAGAAGCAGGTCAGCAGATCACTAGATCTTTTCTCCCACAGACTGGCTGATGAATTTAAACCTCTGACCTCTAGGCTGGCAGCGGAGCGCTTTATCTACTGCACCACCAGAACATCTTTAAGTGATAATAGGAGGTTATCAACTTAAGGCAGTATAAGAACCAAATCCAACTCTAGCCCATTTCCAAGTTATGACATCTCTAATCACTTCAAAATGGTCACTAGCACTTTATTATATTTTCAGTTACAACGGTATTTTCCTACTATATAGAAGACATGCGCTACTGCTGAAAAGGTTTTCATTCCTTCTCATAGTTAGATTCTAAACAATACAGCATACCTGTGGGAGCAGTTTGAGCCTACCGATCTGCCATAATATAGACATTCTCTAGAAAGCATCTAAGATAACGCCACTCTAATATACTCTCAAAAACGAAAAGTCCAGGGCAGAAAAGAGAAGTGGCTTACCATATTCTCGTCCACTTGGTTCTTACTGTTAATCACTTTCTCTTCAGCACCTATCAGTCCTCCTTCCTGCTCTCCCACTCCAGATCCTGTGTAAACGGAGATCACACCTGAGTTTCCAGAGATGGACTGAGACCCAGTACTCCTTTCACAGAAGCCATCAGCTCACTTTCCTCAGGGCCAGGGAGGTGATCAATACGCTACTTGGCTCTCACATTGCTGGCGATGCACTGTGTTCTATATACTGATGCAGGCATTGTCCAGAGGACCAATTTGTATAATGGAGGAGGTGGGTGTGGATGTATCTCTCATTTGAAAAAAATGGAAGGCAAGGATCCTCAGACAATGTCTGCTGTCAAAAGAAGCTGTGGCCAAAGGCATTCTAGTGTAAAGAAATATGTCACCCCCGTATGTGACATCACTTGTACCTTACAGTTTACTCTTTCAACCACCTGGGTTCCTTCTGAATGGGTAACTAAACTTTTACCAGCAATGAATCTGCAAATTTGCCTTGAGCATCTTAGTTTACCCCACAAGCAGTTCTGTCTGCCTGCGACACCCTCCCTTACCATAAGCACCTTATTTGTTGTTCAAGTTTCCATTTCTATTGAAAGACATTTCTAGGCTTCAGAACTTACAACCACAGTTTATAATTACGGATTTTCTTCTGTGTCTCCTACCAGATGCAACACTCGCAGAAACTAACAAAGTATCTAGATCACAGGTGTTCCCCTACTAAATGGTTATCACACAATGATATGAAGGAAGGAAGCATTCCATAAAATGGGAGAATGTTAATAATGGAGAGTGAAAGGCACCTTTCTATAAACAGAATAAGAGCAGTAGCGCTACTCTTGAGCCCTCATCACTTGTGTGTGACACTTCAAGTGATGGTATCTACTACGTAACGTAGCTGAGGCCAGCATCTTCCCAGGGAAAGGAAAAGGGAGAAGCATTCTTTATTTTTACCACCAAAGTATGTGAGTTCTTGTTTATCAGTAACAGCAAATACACAGAGCTCTATATAAATGTCTGTAATGTGTGCCTTTTATAAATAAATAAACCTAATAACATACTTGCATTCTACGGTAACTACCTGCAAATGGGTAAAATTCCAAAATGAGTATAAATAATCATGAGCTTGTCAGACACAGACAATGACCCAACCATACAAAGCGTTCTGTTTTGCAGCTCAATGTGTTCAAACATCTACCATAATGGCTGAGCTTGCAGGCTGGCTGTGATGCGGTGAATTCTTCAATATGCCTTTTCCAGACACAGTCTTTGTAACTTCTACCAGATGTCTTTCGTGATTGGTACGGGTAAGAGAAAGGTGGGAGGAGACACTGATAGGGTTTATATGAGTCTACTGTGAGTGACTGGTTAACAAGGTTAATTGTGACTGCAAACACTTGGAAATCTAATGTGTGTACAAAATGAGCCATCTCATAAACAACAAGTCTGAGATTATTGGCAAGTTGCTACCAATAAAAAAGAACCAAAGTGGAGGGCATCATTTGGAACCTGAGATCTCTGAGCATCGAACTTCCTGGATGCAGGAACTAGGAGTAGCAGCTAAGAAGTGGCAGAAGTAGAACCAAAAACCAGAACATAAGACAGAGCAGTGGACTCCTGGCGTGGCGCTGCAGGATCACACTGGGTCATGAATCACAAGATCGGCAGTTAAAATCTACGAGCTGCTCCACGGAAACCATATACAGGGTCAGAACCATCTATAGGGGCAAGATCCTACTAATGGTTAAAGTATTCTAATTAATAACAATTGTAGTGTTAAATCCTTTTTAGTTATAAACATTTCAAATATGTTTGCAAAGGAATGCTAAAACATTGATTTCCAACAAGTAGCACACCTAAGTAGAACAAAATAAAATATTTGCATGTAAGTGTTTAGAATATTTAAACCACGTTTTAATGAGAACAAACTTGTGGCAAAAATAAGACTACTACTAGTACAAAATCAGGTTACACAGCCAAAGGTGGGTTCATAAAATACAAACAAAGAATCAAGAAACAACTGATCATCACAATGATTCTAGAGATTATAGACCAACAGCTTTGGAGACTTCAGCAGTCGACACAGCATTTTTTTAGCAACAGAATAGTATGGGCTTTGAAGACAGAGTGAACTGTATTCAAATCCTGGTACCCCGTCTTGTAAACTGAGCAAATCATGATTTTGAACAAATCATGTAATTCTGAGACTTCTTCAGCTATCTAACCTGTGATTTAAAAAAACCTACCCACAGGAATCGTTATGGGGCTAAATGAGAGCAAGTATGGAAAGCATTGTACTTTGCGTACTGTTATTTATTTTTTGTTTAAACTGAAGACTTGCTGCAAGAATTCACTAATGTCAACTTGTTTCATTTATCAGCTTCTAATGTTATGGGGAACACTACAAACCAGGGGCTATTAGACAAATAGTGAAGACAAAGAACAAGTAGTAATTTAAAAAGATGTAAGTGGGAGTAACAAAGAAAAAGAAGAGTAAAATAAAAAGATTCTCCATTTAACTGTAAATTTAGCTTATTTTTATTACAACCTGTTTAAAATGGATATTTAAAAAACTCTATCCAGATTAAAAGGATTTCAAAAAACAACTACTTTGTTGCTCTGTATTCTCTAGACATCCCCAGAGGAATGCCGAGGATGCCGGCACTACAACACCGTAAAACCCACCATTCCAAGTTCTAGATAGAGGTCAGGCCAACATGGTAGCTAGCTACATGGAGTTTAGTAAAGTATCGCTGGTAGCTTTACTACATGAAGTTTAGTCAAGTATCGCTGGCTCTCCTCACAGCCATGTTCAAAAAATGACATGGAAAAAACCAGGTAATGGTATGAAACATAAAATGAGACTTCCAACACACTGAGAAAGTGAAAAGGGATGAAGATCTTAAAGGGAACATCTTTGAAAAACCAACCTTTCTTCACTGGGTGGTACAACTCCGGTTGAGAGTCTAGCAGAAAGAAAAACAATAAAAACAAAATAGCACAAAAGGAGATTAAGAAAGAAAACGGTTTCTTTCAAAAATTCCAATCTTAGAATTTCTCTACAATGTGCACAAAAAATGTTCTTCCTTAAAAGCCACGGCTGAAATATCCCAGAAACCAACCAGCAGTAAAATCTAAACCTAATCACTGGGAGGTAATCTGATAAAACGGAAAGGAGGAGGTCTGTCTTGGACCTTTGAGAAGATTTCCAAATTATTTAGCTTAGTCCATCATATTATTTTTCCTAGGAAAAACAAACATTGAAGTTGGCCATTCCTGTGGCTTGTGGACAGGTTCTTTCATGATGTCCAGTATTCCTCTAGCCACTTGACAGCCCAGGAAGGCTTGGGTTTTGGAAGAATGGGTTCAGGCACTGAGTGGTAGATCTTCACCTATCAGGAATGTCTTCAGATCCCCTGCTGTTATTGGAGGGAGGACTGACTGCCCATTCCGCACCTGAGGGAACTAGGTTAGAAGACATTTCTGCTCTGACCTAAAGACCAGGCCCTCTCTCATGCAGTGCCCTCCTCCTTCCTCAGGCCTCGGATCCAGCATTGTACCTGGTCAGACATGTGGGCTCTACAGCAGCTGCATGATCTAATGGCTCAAGGTCAAATCTGATCGTTATATGACCTTGGGCCAAGTCACTTAACTCGTGTGTCTTTAGAATTCAAACACATACAGTGCCTCCCTTAGAGAGAATTTTTGAGAACTAAGCCTTGCACGACCCCATTATTTTCCACTTTAAAGTTTCTGTTAATAACATGTTTCCATTGATGGAAAGCATGCAGAAGAATTATTTCTGAAATTGTGTTATGCTCTGTGGATTTTCATACATATTACAGGATATATGTGTCTCTGGACTTGCACTGCCTTTTAGATTCCTTGACAGGTGCATATAGTTTAGATAGCCTGGAAATACAGTAGCCGCATGAACACGGAATCATTGAGAGAAAAGCAAATTTCAAATAATGCACAGGAACCTGGAAATATATTTACAAAGCTAATCTTCCAATTAAAAATCCCAAGACACAAAAGCTTTGCAAAAATCACACTTCCAGGATGTAGCACCCCAGACAACATTATTAGCCTGTAATTTATGGCAGCATCTCAAACAGAATAGGGGTCCCTCCTGATGACTGTATTCACTGTTGGTGAGAAAGCAGCTCAACACACCCAGAGGAGGAAAAGTTTAGGTAGGTGCTACATGGATCATAAAACGACTAAAGGAGAGCAAACACCTAAAATGCTGACCCAAAGATGGGATACTGTGAGTTGACAGCTGTGTGTCATTATTTCTATCAGTACCACCACCATCAGCAGCAGAGAATTTGATGACATGCACTGGTCTGAGGGCCCCAGGCTCAGTAGCTTGTTTATTTCTGGTGCAGACTCAGAACTTTCAGATTATCACGAGCCAACAAGCGAATAGAGGATATGATGCCTAACTAGGCATCAGAGTACAGAGCTTCTATCCTAACCTTAAACAGAGATGTGACTAGGTGAGTCACTTACCCTCTTTATCCTCTCCACTCCCTAGTTCCGAAATTCATTCCAAAAGACAACACAATATAAAGGGAAAGTGCTATATAAGTCACAAAGCAGAAGGCATCATCATACACGCTGAGCTAGCTTACGGCTAAGACAAATCATAGGCTTTAAGCAAGCCATCCATGAAATGGAAGAAATACTACTATGCCTGTGATCTGAAAGCAGCCAGCACACTGTTCACACATAGTAGGTGCTCAATATATCTACTTCTCCCTCCCTTGCTAATTCTCACCAGGGAAATTCAACCCACTTTCAAAAATGGAGTTCCCCTTTCTACATGCACCTCTCCCTCCCCCACCTGACATGATGTCATCAGCCATACACACCTTCATTCTCAGGTAAGGACGGGAAGGGGTGGAAGGGGTGGAATGGTGGGATCTCATCACTCTCCTCGGAGCTCACCCGGACGTCTACAGGGCTCTCAGAGATGGAGGCAGTGAACTGGTCCATGTCGGCACGCTGTTCCTGAAGTAGCTCATCTGACAAAGACAAACAGCAGGAAACAATGATTTCAGAAGGATCCAGTTTTTAGGTACCGGTCCAAAGAGCTTCATTCATGTCACTATAGAGGGAGATCTGCAGAGAGGGTTGCAAGGTAACTTCCTCCTCTAGGAGTACCTTTCCTGAATCTGCAGCAACACACTGAGAAGTCAAGGGCTCCTCCTGAGTAGCCCCTTGTGTCAATCATCTGGTGCAGCTGTCCTAGAAATGCCACAAGTGGATAGCTTAAACCAACGGAAAGTTACTCTCTCACAGTTTAAGAGGCTAGAAGTCTGAATTCAGGGCAACACATCTCGGGGAAAAATGTCTCTTCTCTGTTGACTCTGAAGCAATATTCTTGTCACCTTTCAACATCTGTGAGGCTGGTGTTTCTTAATGATCCCCATGTGTCTAGCATCTATCTTACCCTTGGCCAAGGAGGTTCTCTGTGCAGGGACCCCAGGTCTGAAAGACATGCTCCACTCCTGGCTATTCTTTTTGGTGGCATCTCCTTCTTTGCTTGCTTCTTACTGCTTTATCTCTAGTAGGGCAGTCACTTATGATCCTGCCCATCCTCATCAAACCTCATGAATGTAACAAACGTAACCTAATCCTGCCTTATTGACATAGTGGGTAGCTCATTCCCAAATGGGGCCATAACCACAAACAGAGAGGCTAAGGTTTGCAACACATTACAAAATGGAGGGCAACCACATAACACTGAAATTATGACCTAGCCAGGTTGACACATATTTTGGGGAGACACAGTTCAATCCATGACATTTTACTGTTTGGTCCCAAAAAACTTCATACCCTTGCCTCATGTAAACTATTTACCCCATCATATCATCCCAAATTCAAGACCACAATCTCAACTTATGAAAAATCCCTCCTAATCTTGGAGCCTATAAAATTTAGAATACAATTTATCTGCTTCAAAAGTACAATGGTAGAACAGGCACAAGGTAGACATTTCTACTATAAATGGAAAGAAGAGACACCAAGCACCAAGCAACTATAAAAGCCTAGCAAAGCTAGACCATCTGGGAAGTGGCCTTGTCCTCCAGACTCTGGGTGTTGGCCACACTCTGTATTCTGGGTGGAAACTCCTTGGCCCTGGGCTTCAGCTTTGCCTTTCAGGCCTACGGGGACTCTGTTCCCTTGGATATGGACTGTAGCATTCTCTCAGTAAGAAGGACTGGTGGTGTTTTGGGGTGTCTGGCTGCTAACCACAAAGGCGGTGGCACAAATCCACCAGCTGCTCTACGGGAGAAAGATGAGACTGTCTGCTCCTATAAAGAATCATGGTCTCAGAAACCGTAAGGAGGAGCAGTTGTACTGTCTTTTGTTCACTTAGGTGTTGGCATTTACTTAATGACAGTAGGTTTTCTTGTTTATTCTTCCACTCCCTTGACCTGTTCTTCTGCCCCTCAACTTTGTACAGTGACTCCAGCCCTATCCCTCTGGCATTCATGAATGGTAGCTTCACAAGAGAATTTCTGGTGAAGATCTGACTTTGAAACTTAGGAAGTTGAGGCTCCACACTTAGAAATTTACTCAGTTCTGCTTCCTTCAATCAGTCCTGCTGACCTCAGAGCTGCTCCACAGATGGTCCTTTTCTTTTTCTTAGAGGACATTAGATGTAGCTCCTTTGGCCTCTTTCCTGCCTGTAGAATTCCAAGAGGCAGACAGCGTTCTCCCCTCTCATTCTTTTTCTATCCCCTTAAGTGTTACAGACTTAATCTCTGTAACAAAACATGTGTAGCCACATCCCTGGTGAAAATTGTTTGCATTTTACATAGTTCATTTGTAAGTTCATCTCTTTCCTCTAGCATTTTACTCTAAGTGGCAAGGAGAAAACACTTTTTAGATCTTGCTTAGAAATCTCATTAGCCAGATAGGCAAGGGCATTACTTAAAAGTTCTACCCTCTACCAAACATTTTAACATAGTTCAGACAAGTTCTTTGCCTCTGTGTAAACAGTTTTATCTGTCTTCCACCATCCAATCACATCTTCATTTTGATTTAAACCATAACCAGGACCACATTTAAAATCCACATTTCTTACAACATACGGTTGTTGACAACCTATGTATTCTTTAATACAGTAGCAGCTTCTTCTATAGCCCTCTTCACTTTCACCTGTAACACCCATAATGCCATAAACTTTCTCTTCAAGGCCACCTAGGCTTTCACTGTTGAGGAGCTCTGGTGGCGGTGTGGGCTAGGCATTGGACTGCACCTTAAAACTGTTCTAGCCACCACCACCAACTCCAAAAGTGCTTCCACAGTTAGGTATTTCTTAGGGCAGCATCCGTTCTTCTAGTACCAAATTCCAACTTTGTTCTCTAGTGTTGTTGTAACAGAAATACCACAAGTCAGTGGCTTAAAAAACAAATTCATTTTCTCAGTTTAGAGGCTAGGGTGCTGCAAGGAGGTTTTCTCTACTGGCTCCAGGAGGAGGTCCTTGGTCATCTTTCAGCAGGTGTGTGCTGGCTTTTCTTAGAGCTCTCCATGTGTCTTGGCATCATCTTCCGCTGGGATCTAGAAGGTTCTCAGTTAAAGGGCCCTGGGCCTAAAGGACACACTCTACTCCTGGCTCTTCTCTCTTGGTGATACTGAGGTCCCTCCTCTGCTGCACCTCTACTTTACCTCTTACAGAGCAATGACTCAGGATAGTCATCATCCTAATGCTCCCATTACCATAACATACTCCTCCCTATTAACATGATGGACAGCTGTGGTCTAGTGAATTATCCAATGTCTTTTCTACCCATAGTCTGTAACACCTACCAAACATTTCTGAACTGCTGGGTCTGGAAAAGAGTATGTGGGAGAAGACACTGATGGAATAACATGATTCATCCAGTTCTCTGGATGTCAGTAGAATTGATTATTATTTCATGTAAACACTTGAAACTCTAGCATGGGTATAAAATGAATCATCTCAGAAGCGCTGGTGGGGTGGGGGGGTCCTTTGGAACCTGAGACCCCTGCTCTTTGAACCTTGACCCAAGCACAGAAAGCTGTGACATTAGAGGAGTAGGAGCAGAAACAAGAACCAGAGCACAAGACAGAGCAGTGGAGTTTCCAGTCCATCAAGGAGGTAAAGCTGAGTGACCCTGGGCAGCAAGGTTGGGTGTAGAGTGGGGAGAGCCTCCAGAAACTAAAGCTGAGGAGCCAGATTTGCTGACCCACAGACCTAGGGCCGAGTGCATTCTGAATGAGACTCGTGGTAGAATGGTGCATTTATCAACAGCTGACTGGTACAACTGTGCCCTGAGCATTTCTGACCCCAAACTGCAACCTGTTAACCTCCCTGATAAACCCGATAAAACCGTGAGTATGGAATCAGAGTTCTGTGTGGCCACTGCAAAGGACTGTTGAACCCAACAGAGAAGGAGAGAGAGTGCTATGGAGGAATGGTTGGTGCCATGTATTTTTGCAACATAACTACAGGCAGAGGCTAGGATTTCAAACACATTACAAAATGGAGGACAATTAGATGACAAAACACAGGGCAACTAACACAATATGAAAATCACAACCTAGTCAAGTTGACACATTTTGTGGGGGACAAAGTCTAGTCCATTATCTACAGTAGCCTCTGGTTAAGTGGTCTCATTCAATGCCAAAGTGTAAGTACTATCCATATACCATGACTCCCAAACCTGGATCTGTACCTACTGCCTTGACTTCTGACTCATCTATACCAGCCTATACTTTACATTCCTATTTAGTGTCTAATGGTACTTTCAACTTAACGTGAGTATCAGTGAAATTTTGGCATCACCATCCACCCAGAGGCTCAAGATTAAAGTTTAAGAACTATCCTTGATGCTTTCTTGCCCCACCCCTGCCCCACACCCATGCTCCCCTTCTTCTGGAAGATCCCTCACATTCCTGCAACTCCTGGATCACATTACCATCAGCTCTTTCCTAGATTTAAAAAATCACTTCCGGGCTGATGGCCAACTCTCCACAGAGCAGCCAAGTGCTGCTTTAAAGCTCTCATCACTTTCCAGCTTACAATCTTTTAACGGCATCCTGTTACCTGAAAATAAAGTCTAAACGCCTTGATTTGTGCATCAATCTCTCTTCGTGATTTGACCCCAGACTGTTTCTTTGGCCTCATTTCTCCCTCGCTGTTCTAGACACACTGACCTACTCAAATATGCCAGCATGATTGAAATGTCAGGTCTTTTGTAGTGGCTGCTTCCTCTGTTAACAGTGGGCTCCCCTTCATGGTCTTTGCAGGGACTGCTCCTGCCCATCACTCAGCTCCTGGATTATCATTCCCTGACCACCAGCCACTCCCCATCGTCTCACCCTATTTTTAATTCGACATAGCACTTGTCACCACCTGATACTTGTTTTCCTGTCTGCCCCCCTCCTAAATAATGAATTTCATAAGACACTGTCCACTTGTCTGCCATTTTACACTGTGATGCAGAGCCAACCCAATAAATATTTGATGGATAAATGAAGATAAAAACCCAAAGAGGGAGAAGAAATGAGAATGTGTGTAAAACAAGAGTGCTCTGAAATATATCAGCAATTAAAGGGGAAAGATGGTAACAGGAAAGCTCTGAGGCTCTTGCAATTCCACACCCTAGATTTTCTTCCGGTAATAGCGTGTGAGGTCACAAGGCTGTGTGGCTCACCGCCAGTACATCTGTCCTAGCTATTTCCTCGACCTTGCTTATGAAATGGTGGCTTATGAGTGCCCAACCTTACCGGCCGTCCTTATTCCTGTGTTCTCTAATCTTGGCCTGCCCTTACCATTACCACGGGTGAGAAGTCCCACCTGACCTTGACACAGATATAACAGTCAGGACACCCACCAATTTCCTCTTGAATTTCTTGGGCTACGTAAGGAACTTTGTAGAGCAGGGAAAGGCTTTGGTTCCGTCTTTCTTCAATCACATGGAGATGTGTCATCACCTAGAAGTAGAGTTAGGAGAGAGTCCTCATCACTGAAAATGACCAGGCCAGCAGGGAAGGGCAGTCCCATATACTTCCAGAGCAGCTGGTCAGATAAAATATGCCATGTTATAACTGTTGTTGTTGTTAAGTGTAATTGAGTCAGTTCTGACTCATAGAGACTCTGCATAGGCATTTCAAGGAGCGGTCGGTGAGTCTGAACCACCGAACTTCAGGTTCACACCGACCTTGTGGTCCAGTGCTTATCCTACAGTGCCACACCAGCCATATTATAATTGTTGTTGTTAAGTGCCCTCAAGTCAGTTCTGATGCACCTCTATAGGGTTTCCAAGAAGCAGCTGATGGATTTGAACTGCCTGTGGTTCACAGTCCAGTATTGGTCCTACAACCCCACACCAGGAATCCATGTTATAACTACCAACCACTAAAATTTCCTGGTGGAGTCCTGGTGTGGTGTTGTAGAATAAGCACTAGACCACAAAGGTGGCTTGAATCGCAAGGCTGGTGATTCAAACTCACCAGTTGTTCATCGGGAACGCTGTACAGGGTTGCTATGAGTCGGCACTTAACAAAAACAACAACAAAGTGTCCCAGAGTTCTGGTGTGGCACAGTATAAGCACTGGAAATGCTAACTGCAAGGTTCAAACCCACCAACTGCTTCTTGGAAACCCTGTGCAGGGTCACTATGAGTCAGACCCAACTCAATGGCACTATAACAACAATAACAAAGTGTCCTGAAGTGGTGCTGTTAACCACAGGTTGATGGTTTGAACCCACCAGCCATTCCTTGAAAACTTGATACAGAGTCACTATGAGTGAGAACTAACCCGACAGCACTTCACCACAACAACAACATTTAAGAATCGGTTCAGTGCTGGTAACACACCTAGGTGACTGGAGGATCGGTTCAGAGTACCCCAAGCTAAGAGAACATCTAATAAAATAATGATCATGCTGTTGTGAAGTGCTGTAGAGTTGGTTCTGACCTATGGGATCCTGTGAAGCATTTCCGAGGAGCAGCTGGTGAGCTTGAATCACCAACCTTGCGGATCAAACCGACTTTGCAGTCCAGTGTATTAACCCACTGCACCACACCAGGACTACTAATAATCAATAGTAATTTTTTACAGACAGCGACGGCTCATAGGATAAGCACTGAACTGTGAAACTGGACTGTTTGAGCCCACCAGTCACTCTGCAGGAGAAAAATGAGGCTTTCAGCTCCCCCAAAGAGGAAGAGCCTCGGAAACTCTATATAGGGTCAGTTTCAACTCATAATGACTCTGTATAGGGTTTCCAAGGAACAGCTGATGGGTTTGAATTGCCAACCTTGTGGTTTGCAATCCAGTGCTTATCCTATAGCCCACACAACTATATACTATATGGTTCTTCAAAAGAACCCTGTGCCATGGAGGGGATTGTAATCACTGCAATGAAACAAAATACAATTGAATGAGTGCAAAACTGATGTTCTGCCATGTTAACTATCACTGAATTCACCATAAAAGCTTTAAAAAAAAAGAGACCCTGGTTAATAACCAAAGCAATAAAAAAAAAAAAAAAAGATTGGAAGAAGTGCATTTTTTTCTGGATTTTACTTAATGAAGCATCAGCTAAAAATAGTTGAGGTGAATAGCAGAGCTTACTCATACTTAAGTAAATCACTTTATTCTTTCAAAAAATCATCCTTAGAAGTTTATAAACCTGCTTTTAAGCAGGGTGCAATAAAGCAAAGACCGATCTACCAATCTGTCTTCCAGAGTTTGAAGGTTATTCTCGCTCTTTTAAAAAAAGAGAAAGTATGGCCCATCATTTGAGGAGCCCTGGTGATGCATTAGTCAGGTACTTAGCTGTTAACACAGAGATGGACAGTTTGAACCCACCAGTGATCACCCCCCTAAAGATCTCAGCCTAGGAAGCCCTCCCTGTGGGGTAATTCAACTCTGTCCTATAAGCTTGCTGACTCAGTGCACATGACTGGCCACTTGTTTTTAAAGGTTTTAAAGGTAACACCAGAAAGTCCACTGGGCAAATATCCATCCCCAGACACATTTGCTGTAGTTCATCCAAGGTATTCAAAAACTAAGTGGTTTCTGACTTGTTAAACTTGCAGCTACTGACCTTTTCCTAAAGAGGGAGCTTTAAGCCTATGTATTCAATTCTGTGACATTGAAGCCATTCATGCGAAGGGTCAGAATGGAAAAACTTAAGAGGCGAGATGCTTTTATTATACATTGATGGCTCCCTGACCTTTAAAAGCAAAGATGAAAGCAATTTAATTTTATATTTGCCATTCTGCCAATCAGGTAAATTGATGAGAAAGCACAAGAGTGCCCGTGAGGGAAAAAATGCAAATGAAATCAAAATCTACCATCTGCAGCTTAGCATGTATTGGCACATGCTATGTTTCTTCAAATTAATTAAACAGCTATTTGAGAGGGGGTGGTTCAAATTCCCACAGAAAGCCAAGAATCACAGGGAGAAATACTAGAAATTAATATCTTCACAACAAGCCCTTAGCTATAGTTATGTAGGGGTAAAAAGTTCTAAGTCACTCATGTGCAGGTAACCAAATGTGACACACACTGTAATAGATGGAATATATTCAGGTTTTTCTAGTTAAGAGAACAAAAAGGAGAATGGGCAAAACGTTAATAAAGTTCACTTGCTAACCTCCTGTTATTGTTAGGTGCCGTTGTGTCAGTTATGTCAGACTCATAGCAACTGTGTATACTGTTTCCAAAGAGCAACTGTTGGATTTGAACCACTGACCTTGCAGTTAACAGTGCAGTGCTTATCCTATAGTGCCACACCAGGAACTAGCCTCATTAGGTGACAGTAAACATCATACAGCCGAGCTGTATTCCCCACCCTACTCCACCCCTGGGGATTTTCTCACATGGAGGGTTCCCAGGTTCCTTGGTGTGGCCCTTTGATCTTGCTTCCAGCTAACCATTCTCGTTATTAATTAATTAAATATGTGGTCAAAGTCGCTGCACCCTGCCCTTCCTCTCTCAGAATTACAAAACATGAATTTTTTTTCAACATACAACACTATAGTCTAGTTTTTCAACCAAAAGCTTGGAAAATTAAGTTAAAAAAAAAAAAATTAAGTAGAACTGAAAACGCCTACAAAGATGCCTACAATTTTGCACTCAAACTTCCTGAAAGCTTTTCTAGGACTCGGCCTTTTTCCTTATCTTCTCGCCATCTACCCAGTTTTAAATCAGTCCTTAAGCTTCAGGCCCATAGTCTATGGCTTGTAGGAATCCAGGACCTATCTACTTTCTATATTCATCATACTCTTTAGAAGGCCCAACTCTTTCATTATTCTTCAAAACATCTAACTACTAAGGTGATCTCTGTATGTTTAAGGATAACTATGATTCATCTTTATAGTTAATAAAATTAATTCTATGCTAGATTTGGTCAAGGGCCCAGGGATCCAGCTTTGTATCATCAGATGCTAGTAAAGAGTTTGGCACACAGATAGTAAACATAGAAACTTTTGCTCAATAAATGGAGCAATAAATTCAGCTCCAATATTCCTAAGGCATCTAGGAAAGTTACCTTACAAGCATAATACAAAAACAGTAAGAAATTGGAAAAGGGGGAGTTTCTGGAATTATGGGTAAGTATATTGTCAGGAGGGACCAGTCACTGGAAAAGGATATCATGTTTGTTAAGATGGAGGAAGACCCCCAACGAGATGGACTGGCCAAGTGGTAGAATCGATGGACTCAAGCATGGCAACAATAGTGAGGTTGGCTCAGGATAGGGCAGTGTTTCGTTCTGCTGTGCATAAGGTTGCTATGGGTCGGTACCAACAACAAGATCCAGGCTCTGGAGTCCTAGTGTGGCGCTGTAGGATAAGCTCTGGACTGCAAGGTTGGTGGTTCCAACTTACCAATCAGTCCTTGGAAACCCTATACAGGGTCACTACGAGTAGTGCCAGCCCTTAACAAGAACACATCCATGCTTTTAAACACATTCATGTGTACTGGGTTCTACTGTCAACATAACATTACATTTAAAATACGGAAGGAAATAAGATCAGTTATGCTATTGTAAGGTCCTCTAAGAAAACTATGTAATAGCAGAACTACTAAAACCTACTGGTATACAAGGAAGATACAAGTCTTGTACACTAGCCAATTTGAATAAAAGTGTAAAATTAAAGTTGATACGAACAGGCCTCAAAAAGTTCGTGGAAAATGGGACTTGAAAGATCACAGCATTTTTCCATGAACTTTCTGAAGTCCTTTCATACATGGGCATTACTGAAAGGAGAAACAAGGAGCAGAAAAACACATCTCTATTGACTGTAAAATAAAGCCTGGTGCATAATGGGTTAAAATCCAGGAAAATAAAATGGCTCAGCAAAAACTATAATGCAGAAAAGAGACCAATTTTAAAGAACTGCTTAATACAGTTGACTAGGACAAGGATTTTAAGGATTTGTTCTGGTAGTGCCTTAAATCAGAACTGATATAAAAATAGATGCAGAAATCTACTTATCATAATGATACATTCCCAAACTTTCAAAAACTGACTCGTGGTCATCCCAAGTGTTATCAGAGTATAACTGTACTCTGGAAGATAAATATTTAAGGTCTGTCTTCTGAGGCACCGCAGGGTGAGTCTGAAGCACCTTATCTTTTGGTGAGTAGCTGACGATTTACTGAATTGTTTGCACCAACCAGGAACTCCTAAGTAGAAAGTACTTGATATAAAAAAGTACAGAAAAGGTATTTTTAAAATAGCAAAACCAACTCACATGCCAAATGTCTTTGGAAATAAAAAAAAACATCTTCTATAAGCTAATACTAAGCATAACTGTCAGCACCATCTAATCATTAGTCAAAGCAATAGAAATACTCTCAGTGCAGCCATTTCTATGACATCTCTAGTGTACCTGGGATTTCATCTGGGCTGCTTTTTCTGGGTCAACAGCCAACACATGCTGGTAATGACGAATAGTATGTAGGCGGTCTTTGTTCTCAGCACGGACATAACGCCGCAAGGCCTGGAGGATGCGGTGAGGCTGCAGGAGAGAGAGAGCGAGCGAGCAGCTGTTTTAATATCCAGACTAGAGAGTGGAAAATAAGTAGACAAAGTTTTAAAAACCCCACTAAAGAGTATAAAAGCTCATAGAGGCACAAGAATAAAAGTACATTCAAACTTTTGAACATTCAAAAGTTCTTAATTCACTAAGTAACGAGAAGCTACTTTCTAGGTAAAATACCAAAAACTAAGTTGCAAAGTTATACTGGCTCCTTAACAAATAGTAATTTTCAGAATTTCTAGCTCACTGCCCTCTTTTCTTAGCTCAGTATCTGAGAAAAGTTTTAGGTAGTTTCTTGGCAGCCAGAAAAGACTTAACTGACTTAACAAAAGGCCTTTTCCAACACTCTCTCATCTCCCAAAGCAAGCACAGGATAAAGTTAAGAAATTTAAAAAAAAAAAAAAGTTTGTGATCACTAGCATAAAGTTTCAATATGAATTGCATTAACTCTTTCATAATGTACTTAGAAAGTAACTGGTTTAAATGCCTCTGTCCACTGAAGATGTGATTGTATTCTTTGAAAATAAGGCTAGCAGAAAGAAAAATTCAATAATTGAATAATTAACAACCAATATCTTGAGGCTAAGATACTTTCACATGGCAGGTGGTATTTTTAGATATACGGTGATAAAATGCTAAGCTTACATAAGTAAATTCTAGAACAACATAATACCTTTTCTTCCATATAATCTTCTTTCCTTACATCAACTATTGCCAGTATCTGTCACAAATGTATCATTTTTACAGACCAGTGTGTCACACACTGCTTCCATAAATGCACACCACTTCAGGAAGAAAACAATGAAAATACAATTCATCAACAATGCATCAACTCTGAACACATCTCACCCGGGGTGGGTCAGACTGCAAGGCAGCCAAATAATTCTCCAGAGCCATGCGCCGGCGGTCATTCAGCATAGCTTCTACTCGAGCCAGGTGTGTTTCCACTAGCTGCTGCTTCTCACTAGCTGCTTCCTTCTCTAAAGCTTTAACCATAGCTTGGAAGTGCTAAACCAAGAAAAAATAGGAAAAACATATAATTAGTAACACCAAAGGATGTCTAAGAAGCAATTTGCAGGCCCTGATAGTTGCCACTTTATCTGATTTCTGTCAGGACAATTACTTCCTTACCTAAAGGGAGCAAGTTGGAGCTTAATTTTAGAAGGGCTTTCCTTATTTAACATTTCCATAACTGAAATGACTAGTGCTGTAAACCCAATCAATGCTTGACTGCTCAGTTCATGGGGCGATATAGGTAAATTGTCCTCTTCACATTGTAATAAGACAGTGACTTCAAGATCAGGAAACCACAAACTAGCAGGACATATGCTTTTTGAAACCTCTTTCTGTAATATGCCAGGTTACACTGAAAGCTTTGTCATGAAGAGCAAGTTACTTGTGACCTACCTGGACTATGTTGTTGTTGTTGTTAAGTGCCATTGAGTCGACTCCGACTCATAGCAACTGTGGCTAGGGTTTCCAAGGAGCAGCTGGTGGGCCTGAAGTGCTGGCACCTTGTGGTTAGCAGTAGTTTTAAGGCGACTGAATGAACTTTTCCTGCACAAGATGCACTGGCTTATATAGACCAAATTTTCTAAGTGAATGATGAACAACAAAGGTCTCCCAATAGTTTTACCATCGTGAGAAGAGAGGTTTCAGCTAAACACAAACATAAACTGCTGATTAAAAACGTAATTAAGTTTTTTTTTGTAATTAAGTTTTATGAGCCCAAAATCAGTCTTGCAAGAGTTGCTCTCAACCCTACAATTTGCTGCTATTATTTTAAAGTGACATTTTACAAAGTTAAGAGATTAACATGAGTCAGAGATGTTTATTTTCTGCCTCTTGACCTTAAGTCTAAAGAAAAAGGAAAAAAAAAAATTCTGTCCTACAAAAAACAAGCCAGATGACAGAGGCTTTTTGCCAGTAGAGCGGAATTAACAAATGAAGCCGAGCTAATATTACTTATTGGCAAGAATTAGCCGTGTTTTGGTGGAAGATTTGGTTTCCTCTACCATAGATAAGCCATGCTAAAGAGCATTAGTTAGCAGGTGAAAGAGCAGGCCAGTTAAAACTTTCTTGTAACACAGCCCTCAACTAAAAAGAGGTGTCAAATTTCAATTTCCTGTGAGTTTGGCTCTGGCCATATTTTCAAATGGTCAAGCTGGAAGCTTTGTCTCTGTGGAATGTGTCTTACCTGAATGAGTGTCTGTCTTTCTGCTTTGGGGAGATTTTTTGCTTGAAGTTCTGCTTCTTCCCATTCCTTCTTTACCTAGAACAAACGTCAAATACATACATTATAATCAGATTCTCAACAACAACAAAATTTCACTTAAAAAGACACATACAACAAACAATCCCCTAAAACAACTCCTCAAATTTTCTAAAGTATTGCCAGACACTGGATCTAATATAGGAAACTCTGTAAAGGGGAACTGAATCATATGACCCCTTATGATGAGCTCAGGGCTATTTTAGCTTGTTCTCAGAACTTTGGCCTCAGAAGGCCCTAGGCCTCAATGAGGACCCAAATGGAACCAAGTTCCATGACCAATTAATTATATAACCTTGAATTATATAAGGCTAAGTTATTTAAAATTCCCTGTGTTTTTGTGTCTCATCAAAATAATGGGTTTAACTCTTAGTTCTCAGAATTGGTGTGAATAAAATAAACTAAGGAGCATTTCCCAAAATATGACATAGCACTGATGATGTGTGGGCTCTTGGATGGTACTCACACCAAGCATTAAGTTAACACTACAAGGTATTCCCCTTTCTAATTCCCATTCAATCCTTCTGAATAAGTCAAGGTGAAAATTGCACTTTAGTGCTGTTCCTTTGGCCAACACGTCTCTACCACTTACACGCTCTATTTCCAAGGAAGAGAAAACATCCCTGAGACTCAAAGCCTCACCAGGAAACAATATATAGCTAGAATTAATATATTTGTTTCCACCTACTATATTTTTACAAATACTTTCTTCTTATGGCAAATGATAATAGCTCTCCATTTACAATAGAAATACATTTAAAACAAAAGTGAGTTTGAAGCACAGTTCCATCTGATACATGCTCTACTCTGACATGCCATCAGTCAGAATCGACTTGACAGCATCAGGGTTTTAATATTAGAGAAAAATAAATATAGTTACAGCAAGTGCTTAATAAGCAGAATGTCTGAAAGGTGACAAACACTCAGAGGTTGAATACCACCATGAAGGCAGGGGATGGGGAAAGGAGAAAGGGCTAAAAAGGAAGCTCTGCTTATGATCCTAACACTTTATCTTTTCTACAATGGCTAGTATAACATTCTGAGGAGATGAGGTCCATTTTATCCAATTGCAAAAGCCATGTTCACCAAAGCCAAACACCACGATAGTAAGAAAAAGATCAGGATTACCCTGTCCATTCGGTTGCGGTGCCGAATTTCTAGCTGCTCCTTGGCCTTCTGGAAGCGGGCATGCTCATTATCATCCGTAGAGGTCTCGAAATACACATCAACATCATTGGTTGGCAGAGGAGTTGGGGGGACTGAAACAAAATTAAAAAGGATGTTGTCCTGGGAAGCAAGGCACAATGTTACAACTATAACTGTGCTCGAGGAAGAAAACTGAGCTCAGGACCTGTAAAACTGACTCAATTTATCTTGTTTCATGCTAAAAGTACAGGGTGCTGCTGTCTGCCAAGATCCCACTTTATTAGATCACAGTGGGCAATCTGCCTTCCATAAAATTCATCAACCATGTCAGTTCACACTAATTTATTGGTAGGTCAACCGCCCGGTATCTTCAGCACCAGTGAAACATCTACTTATGATTTCCAGGCAAAAAAAAAGCTTTTTCTATAGTTTCCTTCAAGTCTTGAAACCGTTAAAATCCAAGGAGAAAAAAAAACAGCCACTCTATTTGCTGAAAAGAGACGAGGGCTAAAATCAGACTCTGCTGAGAAACTTCACAAAATTCTCCATTTCTTAGGAGCTCTTCTCTCCTGGCTACTTTTAGGTTATAACTTACTTTGGCAAAGTGGTTCAATTGAATGTGTTTTGCTTACAGGCTTGGTGAAAAAAAGTTTAAAGCCACTCTCACTATAATCGTGAGTTTTCAGTATTACTGAGGGATGACTCTTGGTCACACCTCCAGTAAAAAGCATCCAACTAAGGTACTAATTTTACAAAGGCAACTTACACTGGGTGAAGGTGCACTGAAGGCCCTCGCAGGCAATTAACAGACAACAAAATCCATGGAAAAAAAAAACAAACACTTGTTGCTTATCACACGTGAACTATTACAGGTCCAAGATAAACAAGTATCTGTACAGTGCAGCTCACTATACTAAAGGAAAGGAGATGATGACAAGTTTACTTAGTTGACCTCTCAAGAAATACCTATGAAAATGTAATACTCCAACTCACTTGAGATTTCTCAAACTGGAGGAATGACATATAACTTGCTTGTATAAATTACTACATCTTGACGTAGTTTCAGAGCTAAGTGGAGAACTAGCACCAAAATCCAGCTAATATTAATTCAGAAACAAATTCACCTAATTTCTAGAATTGCATCATTTTAATGCAACATTGAAACAATTGTATAACTGACAAATATGGCTGCAAATCAGTAAACTACACAAAAGTTTTTTCAGAAACCTATTTTATTTGTGGTAATTGGGTGCCACTGAGTTGGTTCTGACTCAAAGCAACCCTAATGCACAACAGAATGAAACATTACATGGTCCTTTCATTTATGCCCTCTTTTCCTTATATAAGATTTAAGTCAGAAAGTATTGCTACTAAGGTTCTAGTTCATACACGCATTGGGTTTTTCCAAACTAAGTGTAATTAAACACATCTCTGTGATGAGTTGATGGATGCAGACAAATTCTCTGAGGAACACTGCTTTAGTCTCTTGGAGTACCTTCAAAAAAATGATGCTTTTTGTGCTATGGAAAAAAATGATTGAAAAAAAGATTCAAATGGACATCTTCCTAAATTACTGAAGCTTTGCAGAAAGTTTATGGGAAAGCTGACCCACATAAAACAAAAATTTTTAAGATGGATCAAACATTTTAAGGAAGGTGGAAAGACCTCAAAAGATGAGTCAAAGGAACATTGTTAACGGAAGACCATAGAATTTCCATTGACGTGATTGATAGCGAATGAAGTTGGGATTTCACATGGTTTGGCATTTTCAATTTCAAGCGAACATGTTGGCTTCAGCGAACTTTTGTGTGGATGGGTGCCAAAAGTGCTGTGGAAGATCAGCAAGGTCGAAGAGCAGATCTTTCCATCAGTCTTTTGAGCAACATCAAAGTTATGGAGATGATTTTATGGAACCATTTGTTGAGTCTTGGATTTACCAACATGGTCCAGAGAGCAAGATCCAATCAAAAAATTGGCTTCCAAGGGGATCTGTTGGGCTAATTAAATTCAACGTACCTCAGAAAGTTATGGAAACTTTTTAGAACTTCAAAGGGTTAATCTAGATAGACTTTCTCAAAGGACACAGAATGATCACTGGAGCTTATGAACAAGTTTTAAGAAACTGAAAACTGCATTACTGAGAAACAGGATAGGATTGCACAGAGGACATCTTTTCCATCATGACAACACACCTCTTCATTCTTCAAGGGTAGCAAGAGCTGTCCTACAAGATTTCACTGGGAAACCTTAGCCTGCCCCACCCTAAAGTCCTGATCTTGCCCCTTCATACTTCTTTTTGATTTCAAAACTCAAAGAACATTTAAATCACAATTTTGAGTCCCTTGAGGATGCCAAAAGTTCTGTTTTGATATAGTGTAAATACAAGAGCTCAGAATTCTTAGGGTTAGCAGAGATGGAAACATCGCCTTCAGAGGTGTACAGACCTTGATGGAGGATATGTCGAGATACAGAGGCTGCACATTTTCATAATTTTGTTTAACAAACGTTTCTATGATCTTGTAGCAATGCTTTTTGAATTACCTAACAGGTACAATTCATATGCATGCAAAAGCTGCACAACTTAATAAGGAAGACCAAAGAAGAAACGATGCACTTAGATTATGGTATAGCCAATGAATATTGAAAGCAGTACGGACTGCAAGAAGACCAAATAAATTTGTCTTAGAAGCATAGACAGAACACTCCTTAGAAACGAACATGGTAAAAGACTGTCTCATCTACTTCTGGATATGCTATCAGGAGGAACCAGTTCCTGAAGAAGGACATCATGCTTGACAGAGGGTCAGCCCCCCCCCCCCAAAAAAAGGCAGCCCTCAACAAGACGGATTGACACAACGGCTGCAACAATGAGCTCAAATACAGCAACAATGTGAGGATGATGCAGGACAAGGTAGTGTTTTGTTGTATATAGGGTCACTATGAGTCAGAACCAACATGATACCACCTAACCACAACAAAAGGTACAACAAAAATGTTGTGAGGAATATTTAATTCCTATATACGTTTAAATGGAGTCCTGGTGTGGCACTGTAGGTTAATGTGCCAGATGGCAAAGACATTTGAACTGCAAGGTCGGTGGTTCAAGCTCACCAGCTGCTCCTCGGAAACCCTATACATGTCGCTATGTGTCAGAACTGACTTGACAGCACTTCACAACAATATATACGTTTAAATAGGATTTCAACATCCAACTTTCCAATGAACTAAATTAGAACATACTGCTTAGCAAATCATATCCCCAGGATACTTAAGAAGTGTACAAAAATTTCAAATCCCTGGATCCCACGAGTGTCAATACTTCTCTGTCATCACTGTGCACTGGTGGTGGAATCTTCTATTGATAGCTCTAGGTCGACAACGGTAACACAAAACACAAGTTGCCACCGCCTTCCCTAGGAGAAAAAGGAGAGGGGCAGAATGCCTAGAGGTGTTTGGTGCTATAGATAGAGTGGGGCTGAGACCTAGGAACAGAGAGCCCTCTTGCCTTGTGAGCACACCTGCCCTGCCCTCTGCACAGAGGACAGACTTTACCCCTGGCAGCAGCAACATTTCCATGCCTACAGAGCACTATAGCTGGGAGCTCCCACCAGGACATGACTGCACTGCTTCTCTTTCTCAGCATTCAGTCCACACCGATACAGCCAGTGATTGGAAACAACAACTCTGCAAACCTCAAAACTGGCAATGCCTGCCCCAGAGCTGTCATTCCATCTTGTCTTACATTACTACCGATCTGACCCTTTGGGTAAAGAAGAAAAGCAGAAATGTGTCAACATCCCTGATTCCTCAGCAAGAAGCCCTGAAGACAAAATGGTCAAGGTGCTCAGATGCTGACAAAAAACAGTCAGCTACTCTGTGGGAGAAAGATATAGCAGTTTGATTCCATAAAGACCAAATCATTTCTATTTTGTCCTACGGTGTTGCCACAAGTTGCAAATGAAGTGGGTTTGGTTTCATAGTGTGATTCCTGAGACCTAAAACCAAATTTTACTGACTCTGAGTTTGAGTGGTTTTACAAAGTAGTAGATGTCCTCACGGTAAGTGTTTCTATCTCTAGGTGTCTGCTGAATCAGCCTAGTGTCTGTCACTAAGGTTCCTTAAAGGCTCATATTTTATTTCAATCATAGCAAATGAAAATGGCCTTTCCACAGATTAGCAGCTTAAAGTAATAAAAGCACACTATTTTAAGACTAAAAAACACCTTTTGGCAGAGTGAGGAAAATGGCAACACAAAGGTGTTTGAATGAAAAACAGTCGGAAGCTACAGCCAAACCCTTTACAGCAAATACCAGGCATAGGAAGCAACACGCTATTATAATGAATTCCACAGTTATTGCTGTTGTTAATTAACACTAAGAGTCAGTTCCAACTCATAGTGACCCTAAACAGAGTTTCCGAAGAGCAGCTGGTGGGTTTGAACTGCTGACCTTGTGTTAACAGTACAGTACTTATCCTACAGCACCACACCAGGAGTCTAAGACTAGGAACCAAAAGAATGACTGACTGCTTGCCCTGAGGAGTTTATACACACATGGGCTAGCATTGTAAGGGCTGAGGAAGAGAAAAAATAAGGGGAGTAGCTTCAGAGAGAAGAAAATGATCTTACAGAATCTGGCATAAACCTAGTTCAATCTGAACCATGCATTTCTTTTATGACCAAAGAACAGACCACTGAAAATCCGTTTTCTTCCTAGAACTCAGCATGATCTTGTGTTGCCAAAATATCAGAAGAAACAATGAGCTAGTACCGCATGGCTGCAAAGCTTTTCTCTAGCATGAAGAAAACAAGCTATTTCAATGTCCTGGATATCCAAAGTTATCCCTGTTGTCATTTTAGAAAACAGGAAGTTCTGTTAGCCAACGTGCATGCTGAAGGATCAGCAATAGTGGGGGTCCAAAGACAAAAATAAACAGCCCAGAAGATGAGCATATGCAGAACTCATGCTGATATGCTTACCTGTTTGTGCCTTTTAACTAGAGAGAGCCGTGGGCAACCGATCAACCCTAACAGCTCTGGGATCTGTGGACCACCGCAAATCAGAAAGTGGGTCCTACAGCACCAGGGAGGGAAAACCACCACCATGCCACCAGCCAGACACACAGTGTGAATGGGCACATGGAAGTTGACCATTCAGCCACCAGAAGAAGAGCTAAGTCTAGCTCTAGGAAGCACAAAGGTGAGTGAGACAACTGACAGCAAACACCTGAGTCAGCAGAGACACTACACAGACGCAGTCACGAGGACGGCCCGGAGAGACAGAACGCTGACAGGACAGTGGCTGCTGCACAGAGCCAGCGTGAGGCGGGACTTACTCATCGTTTTACACACAGCCATACAATAATCCTCAGACTCAAAATTGTTCCTGTTGCCTCCGCAGCCGCCATATATAAAGCGCACGCACTTTCCCTTGGAGAGGTCGAAGTACCAACGAGGCATCACAGCCCGGCAGGGCCCAGTCATCGCCTCCTGGGAGCAGACAGCTGTGTGAAAATGGTCAAAATGTCAGCAGGGGCTTCAAAATGCTACAGACCAGCAAGGGGTGGGGGAGTGGGGTGAGGACAAGGTGCCAGGGCAACAGACTTGACATCAGAAAAGGCTTGGGCAGAACCAGAATGCACTGGCTAACTCACTCACCAACTCAGTCAGCCACTACCCATTCTAATGTGTAAAAAAAAAAAAGACATTTAAAAACTGAAAATAAAAAACTTTTTTTTTTTTTTTTTAACATGTTTTGAGTCTTGATAGGGTCTCTGATGCTCACGTTTCTGGTCTTTCAGTGGCAATGTTTGCTTGACTGGTCAAAATCAAAGGGGACGATGTAGGTGGAACTGCTACTATAAGCTGACACCCCACCCCCACCCCCAGCACCCCTGCCCCATGCTCTAAAGAGTACCTAAGAAGCTGAAAAGGATAAGTGCTCTCAGCTTTCATCTTCTCCATAGTGAATCACAAGTTCCCCCAAGTCGGGGTCCTAAAAATATTCTACACATCATAATTGGCCTCAAATATATAATCAACAGGAGACGGTGGGTAACAGGTGTTGGATCTATCACAATCTTCTAAATTGGCAAGATGAAAACTTCCCTGACCTTACTAGAAGGCCACCCCTCCCAGCTCGAAAACTCTTCCTGATGGACAAAGAGGGCAACCTACAAATTAGAACACACTCAGGAAAAGAAAAATCAAGGAAGGTATTTTCTTCCTAAACACTTTAGCCATACTGAAGAAGGGAATTCACTTTGGTGAGAGAACACTTCAGGTTGATGGGGAAGAAGCATACTAAAGGGTCAATTTTGGTATCTCATAGGATCTATTCTCTGTTAAATCTTTACAAGGGAAATGACATTTTCTGATTCAATTCTGCCTCTTCCCCTGGATGTTTCAGCTCCAGACATCCTGAAGGGGGCCTGCTTGCCAATGCTAACATGGTATGTCCAATGCACTGGAGAGTTAAAATCATGGTCAAGATACGTACACACCTTTCCTCTTACGACTTACCTGTAAGAATACAGTACACCAAATTCTACGTAAGGAGTTACCACATGGATTTGAAAGCCATGTCTCTATGCTGGGTTACCTTTCACATCGTGGGTAATTTCCTTTTCTGAAATAATCCCATCACTGCTGGGCTCAGTTGGGTTCTCATTGTATTCATCCCCTTTAAAGGTATCATAGTAGTAATCTCGGTCTTCCACTGCTTCCTCCCCTTCTTCCTCATCCTCGTCATCTTCATCAACAGCTGCTTCTGTGAAGTCTTCCAAATCTGCTTCAGTAGGAAATTCACTAAAGATCATAATAAAAAAGGAAGGTTGATGCCAATTCCTATGACAATGCACAACAACGATTCCCTTGCCTATTTTGAAACACCAAAACAGAGGCAGGAAATAAGCTCGACTCATATTTAACTGCCACTGAAGTCTGCAGCTCAGCTACATCAGCAAAAGGGAAGAGCTAGTGAACAGAGAGTACACAACCCACAAAATCAAACGTGGCCAAGAGCAATGTAAGGCGGAAAGGCCTGCATATGGACGTGGGTGATGAACTGGCTGGTGGAGAGCCTGAGTAAGGGGACGCTGCCTCTAAAAGGGCCAGCAGCAGCGGCCACTTAAACATGTGCTTGCTGAAGCCAGGCAACAGGGATTTACCTTTTATAAATATCATAGTCATCTTCTTCATCTTCCTCCTCCTCTTCTTTTGACAAAGTGGATTCAACAGTCTTTGTCTGGGGGCAGCAAACATATTCAGTACCATGGAACTTGTCTACCCCACAGGGCAACAGCATGCCGTAACTATGTAAGACCATGCCCTGTGTCAGACATGCCTGAAAGAAATCCAGAAACCAGCATGAGAATATACTCTTACCGTAAACATGGCCAAACACTCTCCAATCCCTAGTTTTATCCAAAAGAAACCCCTATCAAATCACTTAGCAGTGTTAATTGATTTCTAAATTGCTTAACTTACAATGGGGACATACCACCTTAGACAAAAATATACTGAAAGCACAAAGTTGGAGAAAATTAAGGAAAAGGAGTTTCTTCTAATAATTATCAACACCAGGTAAATATGTTGTTGTGAAGTGCTATCAAGTCGGTTTTGATTCATAGAGACCCTGTATGGGGTTTCTGGACTCCTGGTGTGGCCCTGTAGGATCAGCACAGGACTGGGAACCATAAGGTCGACAGTCCAAATCTACCAGTTTCTCCTTGGAAACGCTGTACAGAACCAACTCAACAGCACTTAATAATAATAGGGTTTCTGAAGCTGTATTATCTGTCCAGAAGCAGAAAGTCTCGTCTGTCTCCTGCAGAACAGCTGGTGGGCTCAAACCACTGACCTTGTGGTTCACAGTTAAAGATGGTTGAAAATAGTTTACATTCATCACAGGAGCAGGTATTACCTTCAGAATATTAATCCCTCCCTCAAAAGTTTATAATCCAGAAATACAAATAAACGTAAACGCTGAAGAAATAAAGGAGGGGGAGGTGGGGAGGTGCAGGGGGATTGTAATTTGAAAGTACTATGAGACTTGTTGGAAAACACTATTTTCTTTCCTAGCAGATACAACCACACTTGAGTTTTTCCTCACCCATTCTCTTACCTCCTTAACGACCGTGTGCCAATGCTGGTGGTTCTCACACACTTCCATCCGCTCCTTGTGGAAAAACTGGCACTTTTCTGGAACTAGTAGAACATCACTTACAAACTCACCCACTGGAAAACAACAGAAGCACTGTCAGAGCAAATCTGATTGTAGACTCCAGGTAGACACCACCAGGCGGACCCAGGAAGGCAAAAGTACAGCTTCAGGCAAGCAGCCAGGAGAACTCAACGGTCTTTAAGAACCATAAAGCTAGGATTCTCCTGGCTTTTCCCTAATTCCAATCTTTTATAATCCCATCATAGGAGTGTGTTAAGTGGAAGTTAATAGGATTCTTGCAATACTACCATCTCCAGACGCCCCCTTCCCTATTTCACAGCCACCCCAAACACATGCAGCTATGTTCCACAATCTATAACATATCACACAATATTCCTAGGCTCTTACCTCATTAGTTCTGCCCACAGATCTAGTCTAATAAAGAATGCTCAGGAAATGAATGAGTATTCTAATGAAATGCAAATTAATCTTACTCTAGCCCTTTGTGTACCTACTTACATACCTACTTTTAATCAAGCTACCATTGGTGTGGTACTTGTAGGATAAGCACTTGACCATAAGGTTAGTGTGAACCCCAAGGCTGGCGGTCAGCGGCTCCTCAGAAACCTTATACAGGGGTCGCTATCACGCTGAACAGACTTGACTTAACAACAAACTATTGTTAGTAAATGATTCAAGCAAGAATCATCAGGAGGTTACTAATTACACAAGGGAAAAGGTACCTCTACAAAGACCTTTGGCAGATACTACCTTAGCCAGGTGATCAATTAAACACCACCATAGGAGCTCTGGTGGAGTCCTGGTGTGGCGCTGTGAGTTAATGCACTGTACTGTAAAGTCAGCTTAAACCATAAGGTCGGTGGTTCAAGCTCACCATTTGCTCCTTGGAAACCCTATACAGGGTCGCTATGGGTCAGAACAAACTTGGTGGCACCTAACAACAACAACAACAAAAAGGAGTTCAGGTAGCATTGTCAATTATGAGCTGAGCTGCTAACTGCAAGGTCAGCAGTTCAAATCTATCAGCCACTCTACAGGAGAAAGATGAGGCTTTCTGCTCCTATAAAGATTTACAGCCTCAGAAATCCAAGACAGGGTCACTATGAGCCAGAACTGACTCCACTGCACATAACCACCACCACCACCAATGATGGACACACTGACATATGCCATGTTCTAAGGTCAATTACCCACGTAGTGTTCTGCCAAAAATGTCTAATTTGAATCTATCTATGATAAAATAAAGGCGCTCTGGTAGCGTAGTGGTTAAGAATTGGGCTGCAAACTGCAAGGTCAGCAGTTCAAAACTACCAGCTGCTCCATGGGAGAAAGCTGAGGCTTTCTGCTCCAGTAAAGATTCACAGCCTCAGAAACCCTGTTCAGGATCACTATGGGTTGGAACCGACTCAACGGTACTTAACAACAACATGATAAAATAAGACATCCAAATTCAGGGATCATCTTCTAAACAAAGTGTCCTGTAGGCTTAAAAAATATTGTCATAAAGACTATGGAAAAATGTGACTCTTAATTGAATCCTGGATTTTAAAAAGCATGAAAGGACATTATTATTGGGACATTTAGGGAATCTGTCCAAAATGTGATCAATGCATTATCATTATGTAGGAAAATGTTCTTGCTCTTAGGAGAAACCAGCAGAAGTATTTAGAAGGGAAGTATCACAATGTCAACTTGCTCTCAAATGACTTCACAAAAACATTAAACAGGCTTTTTGGTTTTTTTAGTTTTGTAAAGGCCTTAGGTGGAAAGAGGAGCCCACCCAGAACTACTCAGAGAATAGGAGATTTACCTGGGAAGCAAAGACCTACAGAAAGGAAAGTGACTGGCATTTTCAATTTCAAACAAGCAGTTTTCCATTGGGTGCCCTGAGGTAGAAAAAGAAAACCCCATTCTAGGACTGAAAGTTAAAGGAAGCTGGCAAGCAGACAACCAGGTATGCTTGCTGGTGATCACCTGGGTCCATTAATGGGTGGAAGTGGGAGAATTTATAGCAATGAAGAAACAAGTTGGCTGGTCTGATGTTTAGGGAGTTGTGTGGATTCCTAGCTAAAGGCACCAGCCTAGCCCATGGGGACTAGGGATGATGGAGACCAGTGGGAGGTTTGTGTGTGGACTCCCCCTCTGAAGTGTTAAAACTGGTTTCCATCTGACCTAACCAGGATGACCAGAACCTGACCTAATGAAGAGAGAGATGTATGACACTCTGAGCTAGTAGAAATGGCTGCAATTTTGATGGCTTGCAGAAATTTTAAAACTCTGTTAAACTGCAGAAATTAAACGCCAACCAATCTTCAAGCATGCAATCACTAAATAAACCTGAAAATCCAAAAAATCCAAAAAAGAAGTAACACAACTGAAATGGAAAATAAATTTAGCCAGCTGGACCCGGTTTAGATGATCCCAATTTTGTTGCAACATCCAGAGCATCATAGTGAGGAGGAGCCAGTGGAACATACGCCTTTTCTCCATCAGGCCTGGTCAAGGTGTTGACCTTGGCTACGTCAATGTCACAAAGCTTCTTTACAGCCTGTGTGATCTGAGGCTTGTTGGCCTTGACCTCCACAACGAGCACAGTGTGTTGTTATCTTCAATCTTCTTCATAGCTGACTCAGTAGTCAGAGGGAACTTGATGATGGCATAGGGATTAAGCTTGTTTCTCCTGAGTATGCTCTTCGGAGGATATTTCAGCTGCCTTCGGAGCCTCACAGTCTTGGGCTGCCAGAGTGGGTCATCTTCTTTTTGGGTGTGGTTGTGGACGCCTTTCAGCACTAACGTCTTAGACTTCAATGCCTTGGCTTTGGCTTCAGCTTTGGAGAGGTAAGGGCTTCCCCTTCTTTGCTTTCAGCACCATTTTCAAAAAAACAGGCAGTCTGGCTAACTCTTTTAGGCCAAATTCCTCTTTTAAGAGTAGTACACACGAGAACAAATAAGATGGTGGATTGGGTGGAAGTGCAGTGAGGAGCTCAGTCAGCAACAAAACAATACCAGACCAAGCAGGCTCAGTGGATGGTGACAGAACTCTGAACCACATATAAAGGAATATTTAGAAGATTGGAAGGTTTACAACTAGGTGAATTTGTAGCAGAAGCAAGAAATCCATTGTTTTCTAACCCAAAATGCTCAGCTGCTCCAGGAGCCGACATCTTGGGCAAGACCAAGCAGGGTAAGGTTCAGAGCAACCACAAACGCTTGACAGAACCACTGAGATAAAGGTGTGGACACTTTTTTTTTTAATCTGTTCACTGGTCCCTCTTTGTCTGCGCACCTCCATTCAGGTGACTAGAGGGGGTGCCTGAGCAAGTGGACACGCCACCCCTACCCCCAAAGTGTTCTACTACGCATGCACACAGATCTCCTCAAAATTTAAAGAGACAGTTTCCACTTAAAACGAAACGGCCACAGCCAGCCCTGAAGTGTTTATAACTAGAAAAAAGGCCTGAACAGGGATTCTGGAGGTAAACTAAAAAGGAAACAGGCCAAAATTTAAATCCTGAGTTATATCACAACAATCAACAGTGGCACCTTGAAATTTCTCAGGAAGAAGAGTGAAAAGGGAAGCCCATCTCCTGATCACATTTACCTGGAGGCAATCAGAAAGCATTAAAAATACCAAAATACACACCCATTTAAGTATTAAGGCCACAGATAACTCCTGAATATGCCCAAAAAACAGAAGCAGATGACCATATCAGCACATGTTCAGAAACAAGATAAAACGACTGAGGAAAATGAGCTGGAAGTGGACCTACACTCCATACTAGGAGATGGGCAGGCTTGGAAATGCCTGAGAAGGAATTCAGAAAAATGATTATAAAATGTATCATAACACTAGACAATGGAGTTGAGAAAAATAAGGAAAAAGTCAGGAAAGCACTACAGGAACAATCAAATAAGATAGATAAAGCATAGGAAACAATTCAAAACCTACAGAAAGAGGTCCAAACAGTTAGTAATAGAATATCAGAAATGGACAATACACTGAAAGGGCAAAGGAGTAGAACTGAAGAGATAGAATGCCAGAAGTAGTGAGCTAGAAAATAAATCTCTCAACACTACTAAGATAGAATGGCAAACACAAAAAAAGGATAAAAAAATCTGAAGAAGGCCTAAGATTCATGTTGGACAACATGAAGAATACCTTAAGAATTACTGGCATTCCAGAACAGGAAGAATCACACAAGTCCACAGAGGAGATAGTTGAAGAGCTTCTGGAAGAAAATTTTCCTAACATCCTGAAAAGTGAAAAGATAAGCATTCAAGAAGCTCAACGAACCCCAAGAAGGATAGACCGTAAAAGAAAATCACTGAGACATAATAATCAAGCTCTCCAAATTCAAAGGACAGAATCCTGAAAGCAGCTAGGGAAAAGAGAAGTGTTAATATACAAAGGCAAGCAAATTAGATTAAGCTCGGATCTCTCAGCAGAAACCATACAGGCAGGAAGGCAATGGGGAGACATATATAAACCCTTGAAAGAAAAAAACAGCCACTCAAGAATCCTCTATCCAGCAAAGCTCTCAATCAAATACGATGGTGTAATCAAAACATTCCAGAATAAACAGAAGCTAAGGGATTTTGCCAAAGCCAATGCTGCTATGAAAAACATCCTAAAGGATGTTCTGTTGACTGAGAACCAACAAGAACAGACAACAACTAGAGAATGACGTCCGTGGCAGCATCACCCTGAACTCAGTTGACAAACGAAAGAGTCAAGAACAGAATAAAATTATAAGAACAGAGGATATGGGAGGTAAGTCTATGATCAAAACAATTACAAAGTGAAAGAAGGTAAACACAGAAGAACAGAGATCCAGGTGGTGGGAAGGTCTGGTAGATTACAAGATTAAACAGAATCTTTTAAATGGAGGAAAGAGTTAATGGAATATAAGGTAACCACAACAGTGGGGTTGGGCTGGGGGTTTAGTTCGGGTGTTGGTGAGGGCAATACAAGGGGAGGAGGTGGAAGAACAAGATAGATAGGGGAACACTGAGACAGGTTTGCATGGCTTAAATGGGACAGAGGTAAATAGTG